AACAAAAAATGAAAACTCGAAATTTCAGAAGTGATGAAACTTTGGTATTTTTGAATTTTTTGGAATCTTTATGCTCTTAGAACAATCATCAGAATCTTTAGAACCTCTTGAATTCCGGAATATCTAGAATCTTTGAAACTTCTGGAATCTCTAGAGTCTCGGAATATCGGGAATTTTTGAAATTTCTGGGGTTTGAAGTCGAATATCTGAAATATTGAAATTTCGAAAAATCCAGAAATCAAAAAGTGGAAAATCGAGAAATCGAAATACAAAAAATTGAAAAATCGAAAGACCGAAAATCGTATAATAGAAAAAAATTTAAAATTCTAATATCAAAAATTCGAAAATCGGAAAATCAAAAAATAGAAACTCAAAATTTCGAAAATGGGGAAAAAGGAAAAATCGAAAATTCGGAGAGTGAAACAATTGACGAATCAAAGAATGAAAAAACTGAAAAATCGAAAAGTAAAAAATTGATCGAATATCAAAAATGGAAATAAAAATTTCAAAATCCGAAAATGCTAAAAATCAAAAATCGAGAAATCGAAAACCGAAAATTCAAAAAACAAAAATCGAGAAATCAAAAATTTGAAAAGTAAAAAAATGATCGAATATCGCAAAATCCAAAGAATTTGAAAATTTCAATTCGAAAAATCGAAAATTTGAAATATTAAAATTTCGAAAAATCTAGAAATCAAGAAATGGAAAATCGAGAAATCGAAATACACAAAAATTGAAAAACCGAAAATCGTATAATCGAAAAAATTTGAAAATTTTAATGTCAAAAATTCGAAAAATCGCAAAATCGAAAAATGGAAACTCAAAATTTCGAAAATGGGAAAAAAGTAAAAATCGAAAATTCGGAGAGTGAAACAATTGACAAATCAAAGAATAGAAAAACTGAAAAATCGAAAAGTAAAAAATTGATCGCACATCAAATCCCGAAAATGCGAAAAATCGAAAATCGAGAAATCGAAAACCGAAAATTCAAAAAACAAAAATCGAGAAATCAAACATTTGAAAAGTAATTTTTAAAATCTTTAGAATTTTTATAATCTTTTTTCGAAATTTCACTAAATACATTTTCCTGTAGATTTCGAGCTGCAGAAGTCATATCCGCTTTCACTTCTTCGATAACTCAAATGGTTTTTCCAGAATCGTCATTTAAAACATTGAAAAATATGCAAAATCCGCCCAATTTTCAACCAATTTTCAACAAAATTTTCGAAATTTCACTAAATACCTTTTCTTCTAGATTTCGGGCCGCAGAAGTCATTTCCGCTTTCATATCTTCGATAACTCCAATGGTTTTTCCCGAATCGTCCTTTGAAACATAGAAAAATATGCAAAATCCGTCCAATTTTCGACCAATTTTCAACAAAATTTTCGAAATTTCACTAAATATATTTTCTTGTAGATTTCGGGCCGCAGAAGTCATATCCGCTTTCACTTCTTCAAAAACTCGAATGGTTTTTCCAGAATCGTCCTTTGAAACATTTAAAAATATGCAAAATCCGCAGAATTACTGGAGTTTCTATGGTCTCGAAATGTCTGAAAACAGTGTGTGAAATATTGGAACTTTTATAATTTTTAAATTCTTCAGAAACTTCGAAATTGTTAGAAACTTTGATCTCTTCAGAATTTTCAGAATCTTAGGAATCTTTAGAACCTTCAGAATCTTTCGACTCTTCGAAATTTCTAGAATCTCTGGAACCTTTGGAATCTTTGACATCTTTGGAATCCTCATTATAATTCTTCAGGATCTTCTGGAACTTCAAAGCTCTCAGAATCTTCGGAATCCTCGGGACCCTTAGAATCGTCAGAATTTCTAGGATCTTTAGAATCTTCAGAATCTTCAGAATCTTTCGAATCTTGACAACTTCTGGGATTCGTAAACTCGGAATATTTGCAATTTTGGAACTTTTGGAATCTTTATAATCTTTGGAATATTCGGAATCTTTAGAATCTTCAGAAGCTGTCAAAATTTTTTGAATCTTTGGAATCTTTAGAATTCCTAGAATCCCTGGAAATTGAAAGTTGGAAATCCAGAAATTGGAAATCGAAAGAGATTAGAGATTCCAATATCAAAAATTCAAAAAACGAAAATTTTAAATATTGCAATTTCGAAAAATCCAGAAATCAAAAGATGGAAAATCGAGAAATCGAAATACACAAAAATGAAAATTCGAAAATCGAAAAACCGAAAATGGTATATTCGAAAAAATTTGGAAATTCTAATATCAAAAATTCGAAAAATCACAAATTCAGAAAATGGAAACTCAAAATTTCTAAAACGGGAAAAAAGGAAAAGTCGAAAATTCGAAGAGTGAAACAATTGATGAATGAAAGAGTGGAAATACTGAAACAGGGAAATATTAAATTTCAAAACTCGATAATGCGAAAAATCGAAAACCGAGAATTCAAAACTACGAAATTCACAAAACAAAAATCGAGAAATCAAAAATTTGAAAAGTAAAAAAAAGACCGAATATCGCAAAATCCAAAGAATTTGTAAATTCCAATGTCAAAAATTTGAAAAATCGCAAAATTCAAAATATCGAAATTGTGAAAAATCGCAAAATTCGAAATATCGAAAATTCGAAAAGTCCAGAAATCGAAAAATCGAAAATCGAGAGATGGAAATATAGAAAAATTGAAATCCGAAAATCGAAAGAAATTAAAAATTCCATGTCAAAAAATTGAAAATCGAAAATCGAGATATCGAATTCCGAGGGATTGAAAGTCAAGAAATCGAAAACTTGAGTAATCAAAAATTTGAAAAAAAATTTTCGAATATCCAAATTTCGAAAAATCCAGAAATAGAAATATCGTGAAATACAGAAATCGAAATAAGGAAAAATTGAAAATTCGAAAATGTAAAATCCGAAAATCGTATAATCGAAAGAATTTGAAAATTCCAATATCAAAAATTCGAAAAATCGCAAAAACGAAAAATGAAAACTCGAAATTTCAGAAGTGATGAAACTTTGGTATTTTTGAATTTTTTGGAATCTTTATGCTCTTAGAACAATCATCAGAATCTTTAGAACCTCTTGAATTCCGGAATATCTGGAATCTTTGAAACTTCTGGAATCTCTAGAGTCTCGGAATATCCGGAATTTTTGAAATTTCTGGGGTTTGAAATCGAATATCTGAAATATTGAAATTTCGAAAAATCCAGAAATCAAAAAATGGAAAATCGAGAAATCGAAATACAAAAAATTGAAAAATCGAAAGACCGAAAATCGTATAATAGAAAAAATTTTAAAATTCTAAAATCAAAAATTCGAAAAATCGGAAAATCAAAAAATAGAAACTCAAAATTTCGAAAATGGGGAAAAAGGAAAAACCGAAAATTCGGAGGGTGAAACAATTGACGAATCAAAGAATGAAAAAACTGAAAAATCGAAAAGTAAAAAATTGATCGAATATCAAAAATCGAAATAAGAAATTTCAAGACCCGAAAATGCTAAAAATCAAAAATCGAGAAATCGAAAACCGAAAATTCAAAAAACAAAAATCGAGAAATCAAAAATTTGAAAAGTAAAAAAATGATCGAATATCGCAAAATCCAAAGAATTTGAAAATTTCAATTCGAAAAATCGAAAATTTGAAATATTAAAATTTCGAAAAATCTAGAACTCAAGAAATGGAAAATCGAGAAATCGAAATACACAAAAATTGAAAAACCGAAAATCGTATAATCGAAAAAATTTGAAAATTTTAATGTCAAAAATTCGAAAAATCGCAAAATCGATAAATGGAAACTCAAAATTTCGAAAATGGGAAAAAAGTAAAAATCGAAAATTCGGAGAGTGAAACAATTGACAAATCAAAGAATAGAAAAACTGAAAAATCGAAAAGTAAAAAATGGATCACATGTCAAAACCCGAAAATGCGAAAAATCGAAAATCGAGAAATCGAAAACCGAAAATTCAAAAAACAAAAATCGAGAAATCAAACATTTGAAAAGTAATTTTTAGAATGTTTAGAATTTTTATAATCTTTTTTCGAAATTTCACTAAATACATTTTCCTGTAGATTTCGGGCCGCAGAAGTCAGATCCGCTTTCACTTCTTCGATAACTCGAATGGTTTTTCCAGAATCGTCATTTAAAACATTGAAAAATATGCAAAATCCGCCCAATTTTCGACCAATTTTCAACAAAATTTTCGCAGTTGCACTAAATACATTTTCTTGTAGATTTCGGGCCGTAGAAGTCACTCCCGCTTTCATTTCTTCGATAACTCTAATGGTTTTTCGTAATTTTTTAATAAATTCATACATTTTTTTTAAACTACTACTTTTTGGCACTCTAGAGCAAGCATTCTGCATATAGCATATCAAAAGAACGTTAATTGTGTTATAATATTCTTTATAACTAAAGAGAAAAAACAAGTTCATTTTTGTGCGTTATCTACAATTTCGTCAATTTTATCAGGCACGGAGAATAAAACATATTATATCAGAGCTAAAAATGTTCACTATAAAAATTATCATTCAACGGTGACATTTACTTCTTTTGCCATCGAAATTGCTTTGATGACAATTATGTTAGTAGAGTATGAAATTGCAAATTCCAGTGATACAATAATTCAATCAATAACATCTTTTCGTTCTTATGTTACTACATTCCTGAGCAGAATTAACTGAAACCGGAAACCTCACTACTTAAATGTCCAACCTCCATTAAACTACATTAATTATTGCGATTGGAATAATAATACTGATTGGTCAATTACAACAAAACTAAAAAGTTGTTGATGTTTGTGTATTTGTTTACAAACATGTTCATGGAATAATCGCCAGTGATGGGTTTCGCGTTACATTTCTGCCGCTATCAGACCTCCGAATCCCTGAACTCTCAACCGGGCTTAACCCGGTTATTCTCAAAGTGGTATCAATTCGGCAATCACCTAGTCCATCTTTCCATGACGGCCGAGCCGGCTCAAAAAAATCGAATTCCGGTTTTTTTCCCAAGGTCAAACAAACGGTTTCGAGTTGTCCGGGAGGGAAAAATCCGCGTCGGGCTGAGTCGAAGCAGAGGCCCACAGTGCAACGATGGTGGATGACCCTACCGCACAATCTCTGAACCTTTGAACTCGCGATAAAACTCTTGATCGAAGCCCACTAGTCCAAAGCGAACTCCTGCGTGATCGGGTGAGTATTTTGTCCCTCGTGCTCAAAACGCCAATTAGACCTTTGTAGAACGATGCAGCCTTCTGTAAACAATGCACGCTACATTCTCGAGCTCGAAAGGAACGCGCTCCTACAAGAAAAATATGGCTTCGATGAAAAATATGGCACGTTTTCCTTCGCATTTCTCACAAGTTTGGAAACGTTCGCCCTCTTGGCTTACTTATACATCGCAACAGTTTTGATTTATCACAAGGAAACCAGAACGAAAACCAATTTTATTGTTAGTGTTTGGGCCGCTATAAATTTCGCCGTGTTGCTGGAAAAACTATCAAGAGAATTTGGGGCTATTATCGGAGATGACTTCCCCATTAGCAAAGACGCCGCTTTGGTATCGCAGATTATTTCTGGACTGGGTAGGTCGTACGGGAGTTCGCTCATGCTGGCGTGGCTGTTTTCGAGGTATTTAGGGCCGCTCAAGCCCAAATGTGACATCTTCGTGTATTTCCTTATGGCGGTGCCGGCTCTGGTATGTTCGTTTTATGTGTATTACTACTTCGCGATAAATAAATTCATATACGAAGTGTACGGACCGGGCAGCGACGTCGTCAATGTGGCCGTTTATATTCTAGTCGGGTTGGTTTTCGTCCTGTGCAAAATTTTCCTCGATGAGGTCCAGGACACGTCCAATTACGCTTTGATGATTTCACTCGTCAATTTAATTACCAATTTCCCGATATGTTTAATCACGATTTATTTACGGTTCAATTTAGATATCAGCTGGGCGGATCGATTTCACGTTTATTTCGTTGATTTCTTTGTTAACGCGCTGAGTTTTAGCAGCGCTTTTGCGGTTTTGTTCATAATCATGTTGTACAACGAGCGAGTGAGGCAGAGTTTTTTCATGAGGAAAAACAAGAAGGTGGTGGCGGGGCCGGATCCCGAGCTTGTTAGAATGACAGACGACTACTAATGATGGTCAAAATGAACTTTGTTAACTTTTGTTGCTTGAAAAATTAACAAAAAGTGTATTGGTAATGTAAAGGTTGTGTTGTTCATGAATATGTATTTATTGTTACATATTTTCTTTGAAATTAAGCTCAAACAAAAGATATTGTTAATAAATTTTTTTCAGCGGGTTTAATGACTTGTACAAGTAGTTGTCTGTGATATTTTCTACGTAAAGTTTATAGCAAATTTAGAATAGAGTGGCGAACTTGATCTAAATTGTATAACACTTCCACGTTTGTTAAATTACTAACTTATTCAGTAAATTTTTTAAATAATAAATGTGTTGTCTGTTATTTTCTGAGTTCTTCTTGCTCGCTCTGAGCTTCCTTTCCTTTATAATATGCGTTTTTGTTACTAATATTGTTCTTTTAAAATATGCATCAAATGCGTCCACATATTTCCATAAACCGACCGAAATTTATGCACATTTATGTTAATTTATGGAATTTAAAACAACATTTTTACTTTCTAAACGTAAATTAAGGAGTTCCATTTAACAAACGGCAAATTTGTGTTTTCTCGACGTTTCCTGACCTAAGACTACACAAAAATCGGTTCATGTGGCCGTCGTTATTTTCTAGACAGAAAAAATCTCCGAAAATAATGGACCGTGTGTTGTCAAGTTTTATAGGTATTTTGGGAAGATGGTATAGATTGGTAAAACGCTAACCGAAATTTGTCTAATCCATTCACCAACAATGCGATGTCAGGTCAAATTTTGCGTACAAAATGTTATTTAAATTTTATAAAATAATGTATTCTAGATTTTTGTGAAAAAAAATTTGGCGCCCCTTGTGTTTTTTTAATGTGGAAGGATCTCAGGGGTCTCTTGTGTCTTTTTTTTAAATAAGTGAAATAATCTTGGGGACCCTGTTATTTTTTGAAGAAGTTAAAAGAACCTAAAGAGTTCCTAGTGTTTTGTTTTTTGGAGTAGTTAGAAAAATCTTTGAGTCCTTAGTGTATTATTTTTTTGAAAAAGGGGAAAGAATTTTCGGGGTTCTTAGTGTGATTGTTTTTTGAAGTCATTGAAATATTCTAGTGAGTTCCTAGTGTACTATTTTTTTTAAGAAACTGAAAGAATCTAAAGGGCTCCTAGTGATTTATTTTTGGAAGTAACTTTTTTTGAAGAAGTTTAAAAAATTTCAAGGGCCATTTTTGTGTTTTTTTAAGAATGTTTAAAAATCTTGACAGTCCTTAGTGTATTATTTTTTTAAGGAGTCCAAAGAATCTCGAGGGCCCTTTGTGTTTTTTTAAGAACATGAAAAAATTTAAAGGGCTGAAAGGTGGAAAGAATTTTGGGGGCATGGGGGCCCTTAGTGTATTTGTTTTTTGAAGTAATTGAAACATTTTTGTGGGTCCCTAGTGTTCTATTTTTTTTTTGAGGAATTTGAAAGAATGTTGGGTACCCTTTGTGTTTTTTTAAGAACATGAAAGTATTTCAAGGGCCTATTTTATCTTTTTTTAAGAATGTTTAATAATCTCGATTGTTCTTAGTGTATCAATTTTTAACAACTCGAAAGAATCTCGAGGGCCCTTTGTGTTTTCTAAAGAATATGAAAACTTTAAAGGGCCTTAGTGTTTTATTTTTTGAAGTAGTTGAAATAATCATGGAGGCCCTAGTGTATTATTTTTTGAAGAAGTGGGAAGAATTTTTGGGGCCCTTCGTGTGTTTGTTTTTTGAAGTAATTCAAATATTGTTGGGGGCCAATAGTGGATTTTTTTTGAAGAAGTTGAAAGAATTTCAGGTACTCTTTTAGTGTCTTTTTTAAGAATATGGAAGAATTTCAAGGGCCTCTTTTATCTTTTTTTAAGAATGTTTAAGAATCTTGAGGTTCCTTAGTGTATTATTTTTTTAAGAAGCTGTAATAATCTTGAGGCCCCTTTGAGTTTTTTTTTTATGAAAAATGAAATAATTTAAAGGGCTGCAATGCTGTGTTTTTTGAAGTAGTTGAAATAATTTTGGAGGTCCCTAGTGTATTATATTTTAAGAAGTTGAAAGAATCTTGGGAGCCCTTTTTTTAAGAATATGAATGAATTTAAAGGGCTCCAGTGCTTTATTTTTTGAAATAATTGAAATGTTCTGGTGAGTCCCTAGTGTACTATTTTTTTTTTTAAGTTGAAGAAATCTCGTGGACCATTTGTGTCTTTTTTCAAGAACGTTTAAGAATCTTCAGGGTCCTTAGTGTATTATTTTTTTAAGAAGTTCTAAGGATCTTGAGGGTTCTTAGTGTATCATTTTTTAAGAAGTCGAGAGAATCTCGAGCGCCCTTTGTGTTTTTTTTTTAGAATATGAAAAAATTCAAAGGGCTTTTAGTGCTTTATCTTTTGAAGTAGTTGAAATCATCTTAGAGGACCTAATGGATTATTTTTTGAAGAAGTGGAAAAAATTCTGGGGACCCATATTGCGTTTGTTTTTTGAAGTAATTGAAATATTCTTGTGGGTCTCTAGTGTACTATTTTTTTTTTGAAGAAATTGTAAGAATCTCGGGTACTCTTTGTGTCTTTTTTTAAGAATATGAAAAAATTTCAAGGGCTTCTTTCATCTTTTTTTAAGAATGTTTAAGAATCTTGAGGGCCCTTAGTGTATTAATTTTTTAAAAAGTTGTAAGAATCTTGGGGGTCCCTAGTGTATTATATTTTAAAAAGTTGAAGGAATCTTGGGGACCCTTTGTATTTTTTTTTAATAATATGAAGGAATTCAAAGGGTTCCAGTGCTTTATTTTTTTAAGTAATTGAAATGTTCTGGTGAGTCCCTAGTGTACTATTTTTTTTTTAAAGAAGTTGAAGAAATCTCGTGGACCACTTGTATCTTTTTTTAAGAATATGAAATAATTTCAAGGGCCTGTTTTGTTTTTTTTTAAGAACGTTTAAAAATCTTGAGGGTTAGTGTATTATTTTTTTAAGAAGTTGTAAGAATCTTGAGGGTTCTTAGTGTATCAATTTTTAAGAAGTCGAAAGAATCTCGAGCGCTCGAAAGAATCTCGAGCGCCCTTTGTGTTTTTTTTAAGAATATGAAAAAATTCAAAGTGCTTTTAGTGTTTTATCTTTTGAAGTAGTTGAAATTATTTTAGAGGACCTAATGTATTATTTTTTGAAGAAGTGGAAAAAATTCTGGGGGCCCTTAGTGTGTTTGTTTTTTGAAGTAATTGAACTACTCTTGTGGCTCTCTAGTGTACTATTTTTTTTTAAGAAGTTGAAAGAATCTTGGGTACCCTTTGTGTCTTTTTTTAAGAATATGAAAAAAATTCAAGGCCTTTTTTTATCTTTTTTTAAGAATGTTTAAGAATCTTGAAGGCCCTTTGAGTTTTTTCTTTTGTATGATATATGAATGAATTTAAAAGGTTGCAGTGCTTTATTTTTTGGAATAGTTGAAATAATCTTGGGGGTCACTAGTTTATTATATTTTAAGAAGTTGAAAGAATTTCAAGGGCGTTTTTTATCTCTTTTTTTAAGAATGTTTAAGAATCTTGAAGGTTCTTAGTGTATTAATTTTTTAAGAAGTTGTAAGAATCTTGGGGGTCCCTGGTGTATTATATTTTAAGAAGTTGAAGGAATCTTGGGGGCCTTTTGTATTTTTTTTAATAATATAAAAGAATTCAAAGGGCACCAGTGCTTTATTTTTTGAAGTAATTGAAATGTTCTGGTGAGTCCCTAGTGTACTATTTTTTTTTTTAAAGAAGTTGAAGAAATCTCGTGGACCATTTGTATCTTTTTTTAAGAATATGAAAGAATTTCAAGGGCTTGTTTTGTTTTTTTTTAAGAACGTTTAAAAATCTTGAGGGTTGTTAGTGTATTATTTTTTTAAGAAGTTGTAAAAATCTTGAGGGTTTTTAGTGTATCATTTTTTAAGAAGTCGAAAGAATCTCGAGCGCCCTTTGTGTTTTTTTTTAGGAATATGAAAAAATTCAAAGGGCTTTAATGCTTTGTTTTTTGAAGTAGTTGAAATTATGTTGGAGGACCTAATGTATTACTTTTAGAAGAAGTGGAAGAAATTCTGGGGGCCCTTAGTGTGTTTGTTTTTTGAATTAATTGAAATATTCTTGTGGGTCTCTAGTGTACCAATTTTTTTGAAGATGTTGAAAGAATCTCGGGTACCCTTTGTGTCTTTATTTAAGAATATGAAAGAATTTCAAGGGCTTTTTTTTTATCTTTTTTTAAGAATGTTCAAGAATCTTGAGGGTCCTTAGTGTATTATTTTTTAAGAAGTCGGAAGAATCTCGAGGGCCCTTTGTGTTTTCTAAAGAATATCATAACTTTAAAGGGCCTTAGTGCTTTATTTTTTGAAGTAGTTGAAATAATCTTGGAGGCCCTAGTGTATTATTTTTTGAAAATGTTACGAAATGTGGAGGCCCTTGTTGTGTTTGTTTTTTGAAGATGTTAAAAAAATCTCTTGAATGTTGTGTCTTTTTTTAAACAAGTAAAAAAATCTGCGACCCCTTTCGTTTTTTTTTAAGAATATAAAAGAATCTCAGTAGCCATTTGTGCTTTTTTTTAAGAATGTGAAAGAATCTCGGCGATAAAGAATCTCGGCGATTCTTTGTGTTTTTTTACTTTCCGAGTTGGTTTCACGTTTTCTCGACGTTTCATGACCCCTACAGTACGAAAAAGTGAGCCACGTTTCCATCTGTCGTCTGTGCCCATTTTGCTTAGTCAGAAAAAATCTCGGAAACTACGGTACCGATTGTTGTCAAATTCTATATTATTTTAAAAATATCGTGCACCGAAACGCAACAAAGTCACCTCAAAGTTTTGCGTAGTCAAATTTATTTAAATTTTATAAAATAAAACTAATATATTCTACAACATTTCGACACACTATAAATCTACAGGAACCCGAATTTGAAGAAATTTACGACCGACTTGTAAGCACGTGACGCAAACACGAGAATGTTTACAACGATGAACTTAACGACCAATTTCATTCTGGACTGCAAAACAATTTTTTTCGCCTTAATTTACATCTTGGTATAAAGTCAAGACCAAGAGTAGGTGTCGAACTGACGTGCGATATTTGAGCCTGAGTAAATTTTATTATCATACTGAAACCCATAGTCATCACATACGTACGTAACAACAGTGGTATAAATTATCCTGAAAACCAGTTTCAGATTATCGTTTCTAGGAAATTGCAAGTAAACTTCTTGTTTTTATTTCAAAATGAAGGAGAATAATTACAAAGTGGATTTATATTATAATGGCGTAGGCAGTGCTATTTGTAAATTCATTATCGTTAGTGACAATCGGTACTACATTATCGGTTACATTATATTTGAAGTGAC